CCAAAAGTGGTGTTGCCTTCCTTATCTGTAACATTGGAAGCTGTAATATTCACAAATTCTTTGAACTACAAATGTTTGTAATCTAAGAATCTTATTTCTGCAAAAATATTCATCTGGTAAAACTGAATTGTCATTGAACTGCTTTGGGAATCTTTAGTTGTTCAATTCACATTTGTAAGTATTTTTTATTAATGCTGCTTTACCACACTGTTTATTATTTAGGGATATAAGTTCACATTCTCTAAGATGTATATTACCACATCACACCCATCATTGAGAAAACTACTAGAAGTTCTCACATAAAACTCAACCAGTGTTAAAACAATCTCAAAATAGAGAGACAAAAATAAGCCTGAAATAGTGCAGCTCAGACCACAGTGAAATAAGCAACAAAATGTAGACAATGTTAATGTGCTTGGAAACCATCTGAACAGGATTCATAAAATAAGATAAACATAGTGTACTAGCAAAAAATATTTCTAAAACATAGGAGAGAAAAGATATTAATATTCAAAATATAAAATTGACAAAACAATTTTCAAAACAAATGATGATTATAATCAGAAAATGTTGCAGGAGATCTCCAAATGGTCTTTAAACTCATTGCTTCTAGTGTTACAATTCTACAAACACTTCCACAAAATGGGGTAAATAATCCATTGGTTTTGCCACTTATCATTGCCTCTCCTCTCGCATTCTCATTTCTCTCTTTACCCATCAAGGGTGTCATTGCACATTATAACAATCACTGCATTGCATCTATCACATACTCATCAGCCCCTCTCCATCCTTTTATTAGTCTAACAAAGCCCTAATATTAGCAATGAAAGGAACTGGAGAAATCCAGGCGACCATGGCAGCCAATAGCACTTATATTCATTACCATATCAACCCTTACGGCATTCTGGTTTCATTCACTTTTCTACTTTTCTAGAAAATTATTTCATATATTCTCTGATGCTCTCTCAGCTCCGAAACTATCTCCCATTTCACAGCAAAGGAAATAAATTTCCTTTTCCACAAACTGCTGTCAAACAGAGAAAAGTTCATCTGATCCCTTATGATCAGTCTTTATACCTTTTTTGTCTGTTAACTATGTTCTCATACAATGCCACCCCCTCAGAACTAGTGTGAGGTGGTCACATGGTGCTTTTGATTTGCATTTCCCTAATGACATCTGGTCATCTGTAAGTCTTCCTTGTAAAAAGGTGTATTAGCCATTTTATTAATTAAAAAAAAATTTTAGAAAGATTTATTCATACAGAACTGGAGTACAGGCCAGAGGATTCACCAGAGACAGAGTCAGGAGCAGAACAGGGAGATCTACAAAGCACACTGCTGAAGGGAGCAGCGGGCAGGACAGGAGAGGTCTGCCATTCCTTGTGGGTCAGCTCATGGGCTGGGGATCAAACTCCAAGCGGCTGAGGCTCACTTGCAGTGCTGTGTCCTTACCCGCTACACCACCAGGGAGGGTCCCCCATTTTTTGATTAGTCAATCTGTTTTCTTTTTGTTGAGTTATCTAAATTTTTCATATATATTGGATACTATTAGCCCCTTGAAAGATGTATGTTGTGCAAATATATTCTTTTGTTTTAGGGATAGTTTCTCTTGTTGTGCAGAGCATTTTATTTATTATTATTATTATTATTATTATTTTTTGTGGTCTACTTGCCAGTAGCATTGAGTCCCCAAGATATCACAGTAGCCAATACTGTGGAG